ATTTAAACATGCCTGAAAATGGCTGGTCTTCTAGGGCATTTTCTTCCCTGTGAAATATAAAATATAAAAATATCTCATTCTACACATAATATAGAGGGGTTCTTAATGATTGCCTGTCTATGGGGTCAATAAAAAGTGTGGCTCCTAAAATATCATGGAATTTTTTTTCTGGCCATAGGGCACATACACTCACTGAAAAGAGACCGAGAAAAATAGAGAGAGAGAGAGAGAGAGAGAGAGACAAGAAAGTGAGAAATCACTGCCCCCTGGGGGTTGGCCACATCACAGTCCCTTTTCCCCCAGTTTCCTCTTGAGATTTTTGGCATGTACAAACAGTGCCGGGAACCAGCAGTTAGCATAATGGCTATGTCGCTGGACTCCCACGTAGTCGACTGTGGTTCGCGTCCCGGACCCGGTGGCTTAAAACTTACGCCAGGTGCATGTGCGTGCGTGCCCAAGATCCTGAGAGGAGAATGGAGGAGAAGGGATTGTGGCATGACCATCCCCCGTGGGGGGTGATTTCTCACTTTCTGTCTCGATGTCTCTCTCTGTCTGTCTGGCGAGCGCACGCGCCCTATAGCGAAAATCTCTCAAAAAAAAAAAAAGGTGCCCAGTGTGGCTTTTTGTTTGTTTATTTTTGTATTTGTGTTTGTCTGTTTTGCCCAGTGTGGCTTTTTGTTTGTTTATTTTTGTGTTTGTGCTTGTCCATTTTGTTTTGTTTTTTGAGAGAGAAATTTTTGCTATAGGGCACATGCACTCACCAGAGAGACAGAAAGTGAGAAATCAACCCCCAGGGGAGATGGCTACACTGCAATCCCTTCTCCATTTTCCTCTTGGGATTTTGGGTATGCACACACACATGCCTGGCATGAGTTTTAAGCCATTGGGTCTGGGACTCAAATCGTGGTTGCCTACATGGGAGCGATCTGCTAGCTCCTCCCCAGTGTGTTTTTCAAGCTGCAGGGTCCAGGACTCATACCATGAAGTTTGCTTTGTGTAATCCAGTCACCTTGTTCTCCATGTCATCTGATAGCTCAAAACCATGGCTTTTAACACCAAAAACAGCATGTTGTTGTAGAAAAATAATAAAAATTGAAGTTACTTATACCTATGTTCAAATTCTACACAGGGTTGGAGACTGAGCAAATAAGATGTTGAAAGACAGGGGAGAAAAGTGGGGGATGACTACTAATGGTTATGAAATTTCTACTTTGGGTGATAGAAATGTTCTAAAATTGATCGTGGTGACAGTTGCTCAATTCAGTGAACAAACCTAAAGTTATCAGATTATACACTTTAAATGGATGAATTGTGTAACATGTCAATTCTGTGTCAATAAAGCTGTTTTAAAAAGAAACAAATTTTGGCTCTACCAGTCCTAACAATGGGAGTTTGGGCAAGTTATTTGTTTGTTATTTATTTATTTGTTTGTTTCCTTGCTTATTTCAGGCACTATTGTGAAGACCAAATTTGATGAGTTATCTTATGTGAAGTTTCTGACCCCAATAATGAATTGTTCTTTTTCCCCTTCCCTCAATAAAACATCAGGCCTAGGAGTCAGTTGAGGTAGTGCACTTAGAAGAGTTGGAATGGGATGGCCTGGAGCCATATTCCTCTTCATTCACCTGCTTCTCTTGGGTAAAAGGAACTCAGAGAGTGTGATACACTCATCAGAGCATGAATGACAGAGGAACTTTGAGAGCCTTAAGGTTGTGGGTACTGAGAAATGTAGTGATCCATTGTGGACAGGAACACCTTTTACTCTGGAGGCCTTAGGGGTCATTTTGAGTCTTGGACTGACTGATCTGATAAAGTGACATTTGGAACCAATCCTATGCTCAGGTTTAAGACATCCTTTTACAGCAAACAATCCAGCATGGCTCAATGGGAAGACCATGGGCTCTGGAACTGGACATGATTGGATTCAAATGATACTCTAATGCTACTAACAGGGTGGCTGTGGTAAGATAGATCAGTTTCCTCTTCCATAAAAATGAGGCTAACCATTCATCTGTTCGTGGGCATTTGGGTTGTTTCCATTACTTAGCAATTGTGAACAGTGCTGCAATAAACATCAATGTGCAAGCACTTTTCCAATGAAGTATTCTTCTGTCCTTTGGGTAGATACCAAGGCCTACAAACAGATGAAAAGATAGAAAAACTATGGCACATATACTCAATGGAATACTATTTAGTCATAAAAAACAATAAAACCTTGACTTTTGAAAGAAAGTGGATGAATATGGAAGATTTATTACTGAGTGAAGCAACCCAGGCTATGAAGGAGAGGCATTGTATGTCCCCACTTAATATATACCAAGTGTCTGCACTCTATGACTGAAACTAATTGACTAAAGGATATAGAAACACAGTACATAGATGTAAATACCAGGTATAGTGTGTGTGAAAGAGGAGGGGCTGAGGAAGGGCATTTAGAAGAAAAATAGGGAGGCAAAGCATTAATGGCACAAAGAAATGTGGTATTATTTGTTAAAGATATTTAGTAGTTTTATCAATTGTACTAGGGAGAAATATTCACCTGTTGAACTATCCATTTTGTAAGACAAATAATAATGTGATTGAATGTATAAAAGAAAATGAAATGGAAAAAAATTAAAATAAAGGAAAAAAAATAAAATAAATGAGACTAACATATCCTTCCTCACAGGATTATAATATATCCTTCCTCACAGGATTAAAGATAGAATGAAATCACACAGATAAAGAGGCTAGGACAGTATTCAGCACAACACAGATACTCAATAGATAATATTCTTACCTGTCTTTGTACATCTACCACACTGGGAAAAGAGAAGGTGTCAGGGATTCTAAAACATTGCTATGCCCAGAAAGAAAAAAAAAATAAGACAACGTATTGTAGTGATAACCATCATGGCCTATAAAAGCCATGCCTGCATTTAAATTCTGGTTTCCCTACTTTACTTGCTTTGTGACAATGAGTAATTCCCTTAATCTTTTAGAACCTCAGTTGCATAAATCTGCATATATACTTGCCTCATGAAACGCTTGACACATAAAAATCATTCAACTAAATGATAGCTTCTACTATTATTGTTATCACACAGTATTCATTTAGCTGCAATTCCCCCTACCCCAGACTGCTTGGAATCTAAACCTTTAGTGAGGTCTAGGAAGGTGAAGATGGTGAAAGTCACAGGACATGAGAGATCTCAGGATATACAGTGTAGAAATAAAATCTGTGGGGTCATCAAGCACTCAGCAGTTGTCCCAATGAACACAATAGTCTGATGGCCCATGAAACAAACCATTTATTAGGAACTTTGCTGCCATGTTGAGCCAGAGACCACTGGGCAAAACTCTTCATGCCAGTAACTCAGAGCAGCTTAAACCACCATGAAAGCCCTCAGAAACAACACTCAATCTAAGCTGGAAAGATAGAGTGCAGCTTTCAGCCCATGTATGAAGAATTGAGAATCTAACTGAATCTTGGACAGGTCCTTGAAGACTCAGGTGACCTAGAAACAGCTTCATTAGGGACAATCACATAAACATCACTCATAATTTCCAGGAAAAGAAGACTGACTTGTTTCCCAAAGAAGGGAACAAAAATAAAGTATTTGGTGCTTGGGAAAACTCAGCATTGAGCAGAGACAAGCCCTGTCTGTTCAAGAGTCAGACATAATGAGGAGGAATCTCACCAATGCAACATCAGTCCTTGTCCTCGTGATCTCTGGTGCTTCATTTAAATGCTATTTAATTGCCTCATTGCTGCCCTATAAAAAGTCTCTCCAACTGTTGGTTCCTCAGATTACTGGTTTCTTCCAGTCTTGCTCCTGCCAGCGAAGAAGGTAAGTCTCTAAACCAGGGATAGGGACATGGCAAGAGATAGCCTTGGTGAAGTTGCGGTGGACAACTATGGGTTGAAGGTGAGCCAGGATAAGACACTGAAGACATTCAGTGAAGGAGACTGATGACAACAGATGGTGGGAAACAAGGAGTCTGGGGCATGAGAGCAGAGGACAAGGTAGGAGCTGAGCTAATAGTCCTGGGTGAGAAGAAATTCCAGAGAACTGGGCTACCCTGCGCCCTTTCCTGAGTGCAGATGTGCTTCTTCTCTTGAGTCTATGTGCTAATGAGGCAAAGTGATGGTCCAGTTAGGCCAAGGAGCAAATGGTGGAAACTGGCTCATCTTTGGTGGTCTTCTTTGCTCTCTGTAAGGCTCAGTTTGAGGATGTTGTTGTCCCATTGTCCTTTGACTAAATTTGACTCCCCTGGCTACTCCCGGGCTGGACCAGAGGTGTAAGAAAGTAACCTAGAGAGGATTAGAGAGGACAAGGTAGGAGCTGAGCTAATAGTCCTGGGTGAGAAGAAATTCCAGAGAACTGGGCTACCCTGCGCCCTTTCCTGAGTGCAGATGTGCTTCTTCTCTTGAGTCTATGTGCTAATGAGGCAAAGTGATGGTCCAGTTAGGCCAAGGAGCAAATGGTGGAAACTGGCTCATCTTTGGTGGTCTTCTTTGCTCTCTGTAAGACTCAGTTGAGGATGTTGTTGTCCCATTGTCCTTTGACTAAATTTGACTCCCCTGGCTACTCCCGGGCTGGACCAGAGGTGTAAGAAAGTAACCTAGAGAGGATTAGTGGCAGGGAAGGGCAACTTCTCAATAATTTATAATGAAGACACTGAAGTCAGAATGAGTTGGAGTTGGAGAGCAGGGTAGAGATGCAGTGGTCACTCTTTAAAGCTCTTTATATATCCCATCGTGGAAGCATACAGAGATGAGGGGTGACTTCTCTAAAGCCACAAAACCAGGTACAGGTGCAAGAGCTGAGCCTAGGAAGTGCTGTGAGTCCATCTGACTGCCAGGAGTGCAGCCTTGGGGTGTCCATGACCACCTTAAAAAAGGCTGTTGCTAGCAGATCACTCTTACCCAAAGGGGATGCTTCATGTTTCCCTGGAAATCTTTGTTCACAGTTCTGATGAAATCTTTCTTTTCAGATTTTTTGCAAAATCACGGAAAGATGTGTGACCAACAGAAGCAGCCACAATTCCCTCCATCTTGTGTGAAAGGTTCGGGACTGGGAGCCATGCAAAGCACCAAAAGTGTCTCTGTGAAGTGCCCAGCTCCTTGCCAGACCAAAGCTGTGTATGTGACAGGCCCTGCTCCAAGCCAGACTCAAACACTTGTGAAATGCCCAGCTCCATGTCCAGCTCCAACTTATGTGAAGTGCCAAGTTCCATGCCAGACTCAAACCTACGTGAAGTGCCCAGCTCCGTGCCAGACTAAAACTTATGTGAAATTGCCAACTCCCTGCCAGACATATGTGAAGTGCCCAGCTCCATGCCAGACGACCTATGTCAAATGCCCACCTCCATGCCAGACATATGTGAAGTGCCCAGCTCCATGCCAGACAACCTACGTCAAATGCCCAACTCCCTGCCAGACATATGTGAAGTGCCCAGCTCCATGCCAGACGACCTATGTCAAATGCCCAGCTCCCAGCCAGACCCAGACATGCTGTGTCCAGTATCCTTCTCCTCGCCAGAGCTGCTATGTTCAAGCTCCTGCTCAGAGTGGCTCTGTCACCTCGTGCTCTGTCCCTGACCCATGCTCTGCTCCCTGTTCCACCAGCTACTGCTGCCTGGCTCCCCGGACCTTTGGAGTGAGTCCTCTGAGACGCTGGGTCCAGCGGCCCCAGGATTGCAACACAGGATCGTCTGGCTGCTGTGAGGATTCCGGGTGCTGCAGTTCTGGCTGTTCTGGGTGTTGTGGCTGTGGGTGTGGTGGTGGATGCTGCTGTTTGGGAATTATCCCCATGAGGTCCAGCGGGCCTGCATGTTGTGATGCTGAGGATGACTGCTGCTGCTAAACACAGGAGAACCCCACTACAGAATTCACTGCCTTCTATGCCTTCTGAAACATTCACCAGCCTCTGGCCCCTTCCTTGTCATTCTCAGTGATGTAGATCCTCATTGTTTCACCTTTGTACTATGCTTTTCTGTCAAGACAGCCTGCCAAAGTTAGCGCATCCTCCAAACTTTGGCAAGAATAAAGATGAATGCAATTCATTATGATTTTCTTTTTATTTGGTCCATATTTATGCTTTTATATCAGAAACTCTTTTGCCCCTCTCTTTATTTGCTCTTTTTTCTCAGCTACAGGGAAAATATGCGGGGACAGGAACAAGAAGACTGAGCTGGTGAAATCCCAGCTGGGATCCCTAAGCCTTCTAGAATGCTGTGACTAAATGTCCCCCATGCAAGTTAGCAGGATCTAGGATGGAGGCTTGCCTCATTCCTGCCTTCTAATTAATCTGAGGAGAGGTTCTGGCCCTGATAAGGTCATCATGGTATCATGATGACTGTATGTAAACTCAGAGATTATTTTCCTGGATGTTGAAGGGGTTATAACATCCTATATGCTCAGGACCATCACTGGATGACTCTGCTGCTGTCCATAATGTGCCTTGAACCCATGGTAGACTTTATAGATTGCATTTTCTCGTCTGATAGGCTTGCCTTCTTGAGGCCATATGGCAAAAACCTGAGGGAAGAGGCAAGGGTTCCCTTGAAGCAGGTAGCTATTCCCCAGGTCATCCCTGGTAGTAAATGAGAGATATTCAAGAGAAAAGTCAACCTCATGGGACAAACATCCAGGCCCCAAGGTCAATTGCCTATTCTCATTAGCATTTTCTTCTCTGTTACTTGGCCAACTCTGAAGGGTTTAGGGTGAACTTTTATAACTAAAAACTATAAAAAGCACTCATTAAAAAATAGGCTGAGGGATAACTATTGTTCAAAACAATCCCAGAAGGCCTGGTGCATAAGAGACAATATGTTTGGTGAATGCAGAAATGAATGTGTGAACGAATGAATGAGCAAATGCAGAGAGTAGTGTGCTCATTTCTCGACAATCTCTGTTGATTCACCCCGGGACATTAGCAGAAAGTTGTTTGACTACTCTGCCGCTTTTGAATATCTAAACACCTGTATCTCCTCCAATCATGTTCCATCCCTCCCACCACACCTTTTCAACTTGCAGCCGAGACAACGGACACCCACTCAGAGATGAAACAGCTTTATCCAGGTTAATGCTTTATTCTTGCAGTGGTGTCTGCAATAGACTGATGCTTATTCTGCAATTATTACCACTATACTTATTATTTTTATAAGTAATCATTTAAAAACTATATAAGCAATATGAGCTATATAAAAATGTTAATAGTACAGCAGATTATGAGTGAAAAATAGGACTCACCTGTCAACCTCCAATTCCATTCTTTTCTAGGTGGCATCTTCTTCAGTGTGGATTATATCCATCTAGACCTTTACCTAGGTGGTGCTTATACCTAAACCACATGGAGCTACATAACTCCTGAAGCTTTCTGTTGTCTAGAGTCTACAGAGAATGACATTCAAACAGCCCACCTAGTGCTGATGTATCAAAAAATGTTATAGGAAACCCACTTTATAACCCATAGCATATTTCCCAATATCTTATTTTCTGTCCTCTAATTCTGCCAGATTCTACAGCTACTCAGTATCCTTTAACTAAATTCCCCCAAGTGCTCTCTAATGTCTAGATACTGTGGCTTCTCTGATCTTTTTCTTCCCTTAGCTCCTCTATTTTCCTCCCCCACCCTACCTGGATCTGGTGCTGGGTATATAGATGGTTTGAGTCTTTCTGGATCCCTTGTTAATTTCCTCTATATTTTACCCAGTCTTGGCATTTTCTGTTTCAGGAGAATTAATCCAGGAGCAAAAGCCTTCTCTCTTTTCTCCAGCCATATAAGCTCTTTCTCTGACCCATTGTGATTTTGTATAGGGTAGGAGGAAAGGGATTATAAAGCTTAAAGGAGGAAAACCATAATTTTATTTTAGTAGAGAGAAGAAAGAAAGGCAGGGAACAAACACTCACACACAATAATAAATTTCAGTTGGTTACACATCTTAGAGTTTCCCTTTATTATAGAAGATCACTATATATTGCTCTATGAGTGGCTATTTTCATTTAGCAAATGACTATTAAAAATAAATTTTGGTTGTTCATACAATTATATCCTGTTCTTTTAATTGTATTTTTTAAAACATTTCTATAGTGTGGCTCAACTAGTCAGTGATTTATCTAACTATCCCTTTATTATGGCCCTTTAGATTTTTCTCTTTGCATATATCTCTATCTCTGTCTTTTACTTCATTATTATATGAGTTGCTATCAAGGTCTGTTTCAAATGTATTCAAGTTTATATTGAAATATGGCACCCTTCCAGAATAGATATGGTTGTTACTTAGTGAATACACTTGTATAACTACCATCTGGCTACCAGAAAGCTAATTCATTTCAAAAACAAACAAATTCCATGCTTCCCATAAAATAGGAGCTTGTGTTTAGAGATATGAACTGGAATAGAACAGAAATAGCTATTCATAACTCCAACCCTTCAGAAAAGCCTTGCTTGGGTTTTCAGTGAATGCATAGATAATATGAATCAGAGATGAGACAGCTGAAGGACCTAAGCTTTCAAGGCTTGCAGGGTACTTACTCAGGAGCATATCCCAGTGACCCTAAATATGTGGCAGCAGGACCTCCACCTTCCACAGGCTTTGGGAGACTGAGCAGACTGTAATTAGGGATTGATCATATCATTTATACAATAAATAGTTATTGAGCATCTATTCTGTTGCAGGTACCATCTCTCCCACTTACTAGAGAGTAGAGAGGGAGCATAAGCAATCAAATAATCCAATAAACAAGCAACAGATGTGTCAATGACCAGAGCTATGAGGGAAGACTACCAAGTACCCTGCAAAATGCAAATTTTACCTGGTCAGGGAGATCAGAAAAGACTTTCCTAAGAAAGTAAAACTTAACCCCAAAGTTGAGTAGGAGTTAATTATAGAGAAGTGAGGGAGGACTTCTCCATACAGAAGCAAGGACACACACAGAACTCTGTGGGAGGAAGGAGCCTGATGAGTGTGAGGGGATGATGGGTGAGAATGAAAGATGAGGAAGGGCAGAAGGGCCTTGAGTCACTGCTGAGGTATCCAAGCAGCCATTGAGAGGTTTCAAGGTTTCAGATGATACCATATTATTTGTGCCTTTTAAAGTTTATTTCTCTGGAATAAAGAAAGTTGTATTTTTAGAACATATAAAAGATCTAAACATAAAGCCTTAAACTACAAAACTGCTAGTAGAAAACACAGGGGGAACTCTTGAAGACATAGGAATAGGCAAAGATTTTTAAAAATAAAACCCATAAAACACAGGCAATGATCCCCAAAATAAACAAGTAGAACTGTATCAGGTTAAAAAGCATCCACACAGCAAAGGAAACAATAATTAGAGTGGAGAGACAAACTTCAGAGTGGGAAAAACTATTTGCAATTCATGCATTAGATAAGGGACAGATAACCAAAACTTAGAGGGAACTCAAGCAACTTATCTGAAAAAAAAATCCATTTAAAAATGAGCAAATTAGTTGAACAGACAACTCTCCAAGAAGACATATTAATGGCCTAAAAGCATATGAAAAAAATGCTCAACAGCTCTTATCATAAAGGAAATGCAAATCAAAACCACAATGAGATACCACTTAGCACCTGTCAGAATGGCTGAGTGAAACAATTAAGAATGTTAAATTCTGCCAAGATTACATTATTCACAATTGCTAAGGCATGGGATTGACTTAAATGTCCAAGAATGGATGACTAGATTGGAAAAATGTGACATATATACCATGAAATACTACTCAGCTCTAAAAACCAATGAGACCATATCATTTGATACAAGTGGAGGAATATAGAAGACTTAATGTTAAGGGGAGCAAACCAGTCTATGAAAGACAGACATTGCTTGTCCCCGCTCAGCATTCTGAATGTCTGCATTTTATGACATAAACTGAAAGACTGGAAGATATAATAGAAAAATTGACAAGTATATATTCCAGAGACTATATAGTAGGGAGTATTTGGTGAGACAGAGGAGATTAGGGTAAAAATATTTAATAGACACAAGAATGGAAAGTTGTCTTTCAGAATGATGTGTATGGCAATATCTTTGACTTGCCGTGCATGTATGCTTTGAAAAATCATTGTATGAGGTGAAGACATACAGTGGTTAAAGATAAAATTTTTAAAAAAGAGACCTCAGATTATTGTTTTTAAAAAGAGGAGCTCAAGTAATTGTCTAATAGCATCAGTTTACTGGTTCTTTCCTAACCCCGCCACATGTAATGCTCCCTGAGTCTGATTTGCATATGTTGCTTTCAAGTGCCAATATGGGGTGATCTTTACCTCCTGGTACAGGGATCCTCACATTGCACAATTATGACTCTTTTATTTTTCAAACTGATAGATTAAACATATGGCATTCAGGATATTAAACTTCAGTAACTTTTTAGGTTAGCCAAAAGTTCTGCATATTTATATTCTCTAACTTAAACTTGATTCCCCATTTCTCATGTAAAATAATCTAAATTTTCTGACTACTAGTTCCTCTATAATATTTTCTGAAGATTTCATGATTTTTAGAGAATGGCAAATCCAGAACATGGAGCCAAGCCCCTGGGAAACTGGAAAGAGTTTCCTTGAACAGGCTGAGATGCTGCTACTTTGGAATCTGGTATGAGTCTGCTTCTGCACAAATTTTCTAGAATAGAAAAGTCTACTGAGTAGACTCCACTTGCAGGATAGTTTTTACAATGTCTTCTATTCCAGAAAAATATCTTCCAAAATTCCTGACAAGTAAGGTTAACATATGTAGAGAATCTTCATAGTATTTTGCAAAATTAATAAAAATATAGTAATGTATATCTAAATGTTTGTCTTACAAACATTTTATACATATACTGCATATGAATGTATAGCCAAT